TCATAACAGAGTTAGCATTTAAACAGTGAGAGACACCAGTTTTAAAGTTCAGACGTCTCTGAAACGTCCTTTGTTTTAACCTATCCGTCCCCATGAACCAACTACCATACCCACTATTTTCGAAACGTCTCGGGGACGTTTCCGAGTCCCGCCTCCAAAACGTTTCCGGTGCAGGAGACGCTACAAGATGACTTATAATTAAGCTAAGCTGCTATGTGTTAACTTATCCCTAACTACGATTAGTGAAATTGGGTATTGGGCTTAAACAAAGCCCAATTTACGGAATATGATAGGGATAACTTATAATCTGAAAGAGGAGTTTCCTTTGGTCACAATCTAGGGTTTTACTCCATCGTCATGACCAAACAGAAGCAGCATGTCTCTGGCAATTATTTTGGTCTGATTTCTGTTGATCTGTTCATCAAAATCTTATCTAAATTGCCATTGAAGTCTTTAGCTCAGTGTCGTTGCGTATCGAAACAATGGTCATCGGTCATTCGCCGACCAAACTACAACCAGTTGTTCCCGATCAAGTCACCCGAGGCTTCTTTTCATCGTTTCACCTGGAATATTTTCTTCTTCACCTGAACCACAAAATCTAGAGAAGAGTTCATTTCTTGTAGCCATTCGTCATACGAATTCCGCCACATATGTCAGTCAAACATGCCCACCTATCCACGGATTGGTTTGTCGTCAACGAACGGGAAATAACTATACAGTGGCTGTGATTTCAAATCCCATCACTGGAGAGTATGTAACCACACCTAAAGTGACAATAGAAGGGTTTGAGTCAAAGGGGAAGTTCTATTTTGGCTATGATCCAATCGAGAAACAGTTTAAGGTATTGTCTATAACATGGTTGCTTAGTGGTTTACACAACTCGTCCGGTGAGTATCAAGTTCTCACATTAGGGACTGAAAATCTTTCTTGGAGAAAGATCCATTGTGGCACACTTCATTATCCTCATGAAGATAACGGGATATGCATCAACGGTGTTTTGTATTATCAAGCAATCATTGACCAAAACCGTTTGATCGCTTGCTTTGATGTTAGATCTGAGAGATTCAGCTTTATTAACATTGATGAATACTTGGAAAGAAAGATCTGTGAACCTTTGATTCTTATAGACTACAAGGGTAAATTAGGTGTTAATCATTGTGATACCGACTCTAGTTTTTTCGATTTATGGATTTTAGAGGATGCCAAGGAACATAGATGGTCCGACCATAACTACGAAATGCCTCAGATGAAACGTCCACGCCTGAATTCGTCCCCTGTGTACTCTGCAGGAATGATTGGTAGCGGCGAAATCGTCTTGTACCAAAAAGGTGCACGAAATCATTTTTGCATGTTTTGCTACAATCTCGAAAAGAACATTATTATAAGAGCAAATGTAGAAGTTCCAGGACTTGATTGGGTTGAGTATGGTATGGTTCAAACATTCTCAAACTTTGTAGAGGATCATAAGCTTATGTAAGTGTTTGGTTCTTCAAAAAACAGAACGACCCACATGATCTTTGTCTTGTGTCTTTTGATGTGGTTTCTTAGTATTTTCCCTTACTTGTTTGGTTAGGATTCTAAAACTGATGTATGAAATTGCTGGTTTTTATTTGTGCCTTTTCTCTTCTTTTTTTAGTTATGATTCTAGTATTGGTTTTTTGAAGTTACGTACTAATTTATTTTTCGTCTGATAATATATAACATCGGCTTTGAATTTCCACGAATTGGCCGAAAGAATTTGAACTTTTATAGGGTTAATAGTGCCTACATTTAGTGAGTATTTAAGATAGGGTCTACATTTAACTGAAAGAGCCACTTACTTTGGTCACACTCCAATGTTTACCCGTCGCCATGACGGAACAGAAGCCAGTACGGCTCTACGTATCGAATTGGAACCTTTCGTGATCAAGATATCTATATGTATGCTTTATTATGTTTTATGAAAAGTGTGACAGATACAGTTTGATTCAAATCTACATTACTAGAGATGATGAGTAAACAATGGTTTCTAGAATTTAGAGTCCAATTCTAACAATGGTATTTAACTATTTACACTTTACCTTTATCAGTACTTGGCAAAATAACATTATCTCAAAAGATTTGACGTTAATATACTCTATCATTTTGTGTGTGTTACGTTAATCTCTCCTGGTTGTTCTTGATCATTTGTACAAGATTTTTGTATTAACTTGGGTTGCTGCAAACGCCATTAAAATGAATGAGAACACTGAGTGATGGAAGATTAAGAGGCTGATCAAATTCTTTGGAGCTACTAAGGGAAACGGAACCAGCTTGTTCACACTCATCATGGATCAGTACTCTCGTGTTACCAAGGTGTTAGGATGTTATATATGGAACCACAACAAACCGAATTTTATTCCAATTTAAACCCCCAAAAAATGATTAGATTTTGTAAAATCAGATTAGAGATAACAATTAGTGAGTATCTATTGGGCCCTAACAAAGCTCAATTTATGGAATATGGTTTGAAGCACAAGATAGGGTTGCTTTTAACTCAAAAGAGTCGTTTATTTAGGTCACACGGTTTTTTACTCCATCGCCATGATGAAACGTAGGCAGCACGTCTCTGGCGATAACGTAACTAATAAGCGATCGTCAACATCTGGAGGAGAAACAGATTACTTTGATCTGATTTCTGATGACCTTGTCATCAATATCTTGTCGAGATTACAAGTGAAGTCTTTAGCTCAGTGTCGTTCCGTATCAAAGCTTTGGTCGTCGATTATTAGCCGACCAAACTACAACCACTTGTTCCCGATCAAGTCACGTGTTAGACCGAGGCTCCTTTTCATCGAGAAGTACACCAGTTACACCGGATACTTCTCCTCTTCATCACCTGAACCTCAAGATCTAGATAACTGGTCATCTCTTAAAGTTAAAGCCACGCGTCATAAGAATTCCTCCATATGTTTCAGTCAAATATGTCCTCCTCTCCATGGGTTGATCTGTCTTAAACGTACTGTAAATAACTATTCAATGGCTGTGATTTCAAATCCCTTCACAGGAGAGTATGTAACCACACCTAAAGTGACAACAGATGTGATTGATTCAGAGAAAAGGTTTTATTCGTGTATGATCCGATCGAGAAACAGTTTAAGGTATTGTGTATGACCTCAGAGGAGTATCAAGTTCTGACATTAGGGACTATAAAAATCTTTCTTGGAGAAAGATACATTGTCGCAAATTTCATTATCCTAATGAAGATAATGGAACGTATTATCGTTTGCTTTGATGTTAGGTCTGAGAAATTTTGGTTTGTTAACATTGATGAATACTTGGAAAGAAAGAATTGGGAACCTTCGACTCTTATAGACTACAAGGGTAAATTAGGTGTTGTTCATTGTGATATCGACTCTAGTTTTCTTACTTTATGGGTTTTAAAAGACGCCAACAAACATAAATGGTCAGGCTATTCCTACCTAATGCCTCGAAAGGAATCTCCATGCCTGAACTCGGCGTACGCTGTGTACTCTGCTGGAATGATTGGTAGCGGCGAAATCGCCTTATACCAGAAGTGTGCGCGGTATAATCAGTTCTACCTTTTTTGCTTCAATCTCAAGAGGAAAATTCTCACAAGAGTTCGAAGACTTGAGTGGGTTAAGTATGGTACAATTCACACATTCTCAAACTTTGTTGAGGATTTGAAGCTTATGTAAGTGTATGAGTTCTTCAAAACAGAACTAGCCACATTGGATCTTGTCTTTGTGTTTTTTTAATGAGGTTTCTTTGAAGTTACTATTTCCTTTATTTGTTTTTGGTTATATAATGTGACTATGGAGAAATTGTTTACTAATCCTGAAACTCTGACATACAATTGAGTTTATAGATACAATTGGCACATCACAAACTCGAAACTGCTTCTCTAAAGCAATGAGACCAATAAAATAAAGCCAAAACTTTTGAATCACTAATTGAACAATATGATTTTTTTTCTCTGCTAAACCGCTACGACATTGTTACCTCACCATATCCAGTTGATAGAAGAAGTTAGGCTGCTTCTGTGACTTCGACGAGCCTTCCACGAACCCATTTCTTGGTTACGTTTCCTGATTCCAAAGACGAAGCCTTTTCTTCAATTCCGTGGTGAACTTCAGAACCGTTCGGAAGAGGATGCTTCTCAGTAAGTTTGATAGCTCCGTTAGACTCTGGTGGTAGATGGACTTTGGTCCCGTTTGGCTGCGCTTGTTTAACAGAAACAGACTGATTTGTGGTACCTTCTTCTATGTTGAATGTCGGCAAATCGCTAGGTCTCAAGTTCAAGAGAAGACTCTCTTGGTTAAGCCGGAATGTGTGTGTACCGTTAATCTCTCCTGCTTGTTCTTGATCATTTGTATCTTCGGTCTCTGATTCACTATCGTCTACCTCCGCGTGTGAGAGAAGATATGGGTATGTCCCATCTTCATCTGAAGTTACCTGCCTCATCTCTATAGATTCAATCAGTTGTGTTGCTTCGGCTATGAGCTTTTTACTCTCTAACAAAGATGCTTGAGCAACCGGGCTTTTCAAAGCAGCAACCTCGAGGACTTTCGCAGCTTTCTCAGCTTCCGAAATCAAAAGCCTGAGAAAGATGAAAAAAATGGTTCAAACTTTTACGCATAATCGCAAACAAACAGAGAGATATTCACAAATGTTGCCTTACCTTGCCCGTTCCACAGCGTCTATCTTCATTGATTCTTCCGCCACTCGTTTCGCTCTGATGCTTTTTATCATTTCCAGTTTGGAACTTGCCAAAGGATCTTTATACACAGGCGTTTTACGTTTCCGTACTTTCACTACTTGAACTTGGCTTTGCTTTTCAGTGTCTGAATCCTTTGCACTTTTCTTTGCCGTGTTCTTCTTTCTAGGCTCTGCATCGCCACTCGGTCTTCTACGACGCCTCTCGACACCAGCAGGTATACCGTGATACTTTGCCAAGCCGGTGCAAACTCTTTCACGGTAAGACTGATCAGAGAAATCAAACCGAGTTAAATACGGCCAAGAACAAAAACATCAAGCAATTTGATTTGACAAACTACTAGACAACTTACCGGATCAGCCCATTTAGCAGCTATTGCTTCAGCGATTTTCCTTCTTTGTTCGGGAGATTTTGGCGCTCTTCGGTTACTTTTCGCTCCTCTCGCGGCTTTTCTCTGCTCTACACTTTCAAGCCATTCCAGTTGATTCTGTCGATCCAAAATGTTGTAAGAATCCCACTGAAGCTCTTCCTCGTCAGTATATCCTTCTCTAGCAGCTTCCGCTAACAAGTTTTGCCACTCGTAATGGCATCTCTCCTGCACTTTCCTCGTCTCCTTCCGCCTTGCCCATCGCATCCGCACTCCCTCCCCAATCTTCAACCGTGTCTCCTTACTGTTAGAATCACATGCAAATTTTAGAAGATAGCCTTACGGTAAACAAAAGCATTAGATAAGGCAGATATTCACAAAAAGAAGGTACCGACTTTTGTGCATGCCCGAGGTTTGCTAATTTCAGTTTGATCTGCACACGAAGAAGACACAAAGGTTCTATGAGAGACTGAAAAATCTTATGCACAGAACAAACATAATTTTACCTGAAACCGCTTTCCTAAGAGGGTATATACACTTCAAGACTAGTATTAACACAAAGGTCGAATCTGTTTTTTCTCGTGTGCATTAACGACTAATATTAGTACAATCCTCACTAGAGTTACTAACCGGCAACTCCTCTAAGAAAACATATAGAACCATTCTTACATGACATCACCTTTGGGTCTTGCATTGCAATCTTTGTCCTTTCTCTAATCTTCTGTAAGGTCTCTGCAAAACACGCAAAAGAAACAAAAAACCATTAAGAAATTTCCAAAATAAAAACAACCGCAGATCGATTGCAAAAACTACTCACCGGGACTATGCTTCCTGCCTTTGTTCCAAGGAGTGTTCCCTCTATTTGCCTTTGAAATCCTCATCCTTCTCAACCTTTCTCTATCATCCACTTGTTCCACCTCTTCGCCATTTCGATCACCATTGGCTCTTGAAGACAAGATATAGCTTTGTTCGTTTACTTTCTGAGCCGGATACTTGGTTGCAAGAGTAGCCACTGCAGTAATAAGGACTCTGCCTCTTCGTACATTAAGATGACCCGTGTAAAATTTCAAATTCTTCGAGAAACTCGATTGTTTCCATGGATTAGGTAAAGTTTTAGCATTGATAATACTCTGAGCTCCCAATGGAACAAGATGAGCTTGCAATGAAGGTTTGATAGTAGCAATATCTGCAAGATTTTAAAGCATATATAACCTCAAATTTGATTAATTCTTACCAAAAAACTTAGCTTTTGGTTATTGCAATTTGCAAATGCAATGAATTGCTACTTCAAGTAACAACAAAATTGAAATAACACTGAAACAGAATTTCTAAACAGTAACCAAACAAAACCCAGAAACATTTAGAGGAAAATCATAACTTAAAGATAAGAAATTTACCAGAAAAGGTACCTAAAGAAGGCATTGGGAGCTCATTCAGACCAAGAACTCGAAAGTCGAAACCCTCTCTTTGTTTACGACACAACTCGAATGTATTGTAAGATTGTTATAATGAACAATACATTATAAGGGGACTGATGTTCTTCTACTTGTCTAAAGAATACGAGGGTTTTTGCAGGAATTTTAAGACAAGGGAAGGATAAGAGACCACACAACAAACGAAGATACTTCTGTCTGGTGGCTTTGACGCAGAGGGAGAACAAGGAGACGGTTGGATAACGAGACCCGGGTCATTCTATTTAACCCGACCCGTATCACACTTTTATTGGGCTATTGGGCCTTAACCTTTACCAAGGATATTAAAACGGCGACGTATCACTTTCTGGAGAGAGTAAAAACGAATCCAAATCCGCCACGTGGTGTAACCCGCAATGACCCGAGTCGTTTTAATTAACCCGACCCGTATCAAACCCGCAATTACATTTTGTTGGGCTTAAAGGGCCTTAGTCCTTATATTTTGTAAACGGTGACGTATTAAACGTCTTTAAAATATGGATAAAGAACAGCCACGTGGTGTGAACCGGGTCGGATCTTGGATTAAAGTCTAGTATATGGGTCGAGCGTTCCGGGTTAAATCTCCGGCAACAACTACGACGTGTCACTACTGATGGAGAGATCCTCTTCGTCGA